ATCATTGACGAAGTAGAATAATTACTCCTGTCTACTGATCCAGGGAGACATGAGTCAAACTTCCAGCCTCTTGTGCTCCTACACTCGTATTCATATGACTCTATTCAACTTTATGACAACTGTGTAAAGTCTGTTCATGGAAATATTTCTGTCAAGTGTTTCACGCTGACTTATGACTCATTATAGACAAGCTGTTATATGAGTGACCCTTGAGGGATTGGAGGGCACAACATGGTTTCCGCCCCTGGCATTGACTTGTTTTCATCAGCTTTTGTTTTGGTTGTGTCATTTGTTATGTGTGCTGTGCTACAATGATCTTAGTGTGACAGTTTCACCCACAAGCACGCATAGTATCTGGACAAATTATGAAGTGCTACAGATATTCAGAGACAATACATGAGACATACGGGTAAAAACTGTTTTAGTTTCACTGGAGCGATCAAAATTAAAAGAAAGAAATACAGAGCCTGTCTTGGAAAACCAAAATAAACATGCGTAAAAACAAAACCATTCCCAGAATAGCTGCAAGACTCAGCAGACTCAGCACAGGCTGCGTAAAGTACCTGGACGTGGTGACGGGGTTACATTTCCTCCACATCAAACCAAGTAATGCTCCTGATTGTTGCACAATCTCTGAATCCCACCACAATGTCAACAAGCCAGTCGTCATAAAATACAACACAGCTGAAAAACGAAGCTAGCCAAGGAACCACATCAACTGTCGCAGACAGGAAGTGAACTGCCTGCTAGTAACATACCATAAGACATAAACAATTTGCTTTAACAAGGCAGTTTTAAAGTAAACAGGGCATGTTAACAATTAAGGGCAAAGTTGCAAAACTGCAAACATTGAATCCAGGCTGGCTGAAAAAAATGAGGGTATGAATTACACTTTGGTGAAACACTCACACAGTTCTGCTGCCACCGTTCAAAACATTTCTTGGCTATAAAATGGTGTTTTTATAGTATCTGCATGTGTGTGTGTGTTTTTTAGCAACCCCAGGGAAAATACACAGAGGCCACAAATGATGACTTTTTTGGTATTACATAAGTTAGTCATTTGCACAGTAAACCTAATCCAAAAAATTCAACCCACTTTAGCTGTGAGGGTCTAGCAACTCCACTCTGATATTATCCAGCTCACTGCTGACGCAGTCGGCCACCTCATATGGTCACGTGGTGTGTGCCAACAGACTGAGCTGTGAATGAGGGCGAATTTTGGAATGATGCCATGCAAAAATGTGTATTTTTCAAGGTTTTCGGCCAGACGTCTCTTTGGGAGCACAGTGGTGAAACCAAATGAAATGTGGCATTTGTTAAAATGCATGGAGCCATGTTCATTAAACCTTTGACGCCATGTGAAATCAGAGGCAGATGTTTTGAAACGAGATCTGGGAATCCTTTCCGGAGCTACAAATAAGCAGAAATAACAGTTAGATCATGTTAAATGAAGAAAAAAGGGAGGAAAGGGCATTACATTAAAGAGAGATTTATGTCAGCTGTTGCTTTGAGGCTGAATAGAACTGCTTTATTCTGCACTGAACAAAATCAGTGAACCCAAAGATATAGCAGAATATCAGGGCATGCAGTGTGCTACAATGTAGCTGGCAAGATGAGACATTTTAGACGGGTACATTTTTCAGTTCATTTGCAATAACATGGTTTAGGTTTGTTAGTAGGAGTCAGTAAAGGCAACAAATGTCAAAAAATTTGGAACACTGACATTTTTCATTCTTCTTAAATCAAAGTGAGCATAACGTCAAGAAGGCCAAAGAATTCAAGCTCCGATACAGTCCCAGTAGATCAACTGCCAGCACATATAAGCTAATGGCTAATGGTTCAACTGATAAATTTCTACACATTCAACTTGCAAATGTTCCATATAATGTGCCTACAGTTGCTGGCCACCTGCAAGCCACTTTGAAACCCAGCCCCCATCTCCTTTGTGACTAACTTAATATATCTGTTTTAATACTGTACTGGAGTCCTCCCTTTTTTTCATGTATGTACTTGGAAGGTAGGGATGTGTGTCCAAAAAAAGAGCCATATCGCCAAATATAAGTGGCAGTATATTTATTTATTTACTTATTGCTATTCTGTTAAAATATGTTAAAGTATGAACTCTTTACACAGCAATGTAAAATATACACATTAAAAACAGAGTACATCCTCTTTCAGTTCTAAGGTTTTACATATCAGGACATAATATAAAAATTGGTTCTGTGCAGGTGCTAAAATTATTTAAATACTGAGATGAACAATAATGAATGGCATACTGTCTTGTGCCATATCATTAGTTATTTAACAATAACCACAACAAATGCAGAAACTGCACCATGTGACTCAATAGCTTGTAGAACCAGCTTTGCCGCAAAAGCAACTTTTCAGCTTGAAGTGATTGTTTTCAGTGATGTAATAGGATTTATCAGTCTGTCACATCATTGTGGGGGAATTTTGGCTCTTTTTTCTGTCCAGCATTGCTTCAGTTCACTGAGATTTGTGGACATCTGGTAACGCGTGGCTCTCTTAAGGTCTTGCCACACCATTCTAGTCAGGTTGAAATCTAGACATTGAGTGGGTCGTTTCAACACCTTGATTCTTTTCTTTGTCAGCCACACTGTTTTAGATTAGCTGGTGTGATTGGGACCATTGTCCTGTAGCATGACCCCGTGTGGGCCGGCAGATGGTCTCATATTTGACTCTAGAATACTTTTTGTTTGTCATGAACTTAAACATTTAACATGCTAACTAAAGGTTGTAGGGTGTGAGATGTGAGTGTTGCACTGTCTGACCTTGGGTTGATTTTGGTGGGATGTATGGAAGACTTAAATGCTTTCCACTTTTCACACGATGGACATTAATGGGAAATTGTCTTAAAACTCTTCTCACATTGATAAGCAGCAGCAGTTACTTCTCAAAGATTTTTGCTGATGTCTTCCCTCTTTGGCTGCTATTTCTTAATTCCTATGAAAGCAGTACTTAGTTTCCACACAGTTTCTGCATTTTAGCCAAAACTTTTTGTTTAATGCATTTTTCTCATGACGTTGTATTTAATAATTCTAATGATTCTCGTGATACTTAACCTTAGAAGTCAAAAAGTGTGCACTTTCTTTTTCATGTGACTTTAATGGAGACAGGTAAATGGCCTGGAGGTTTTACAGATATGTGAAAGTTGTGGACCATTACTGCTGCTGTTCAAGGGAAAACAAAGCGAATTGCAGACATAGAATTAAAAATATGTTCTTCGTGAGAAGATAACATCATTTCTAGTGTACGTCAACAAACATTACCAAATGGCAAACAAAGGATGTATGTGTCAAAATGTATGAAGCATCACCCACACCAGGAAACCATGAATTCAGAGATGCAGAAATACATCTTCCTCAATAAACCACAGGTCCAAAATTTCAACCCTCCTCTTCAGTAATACTGTATGCACACCATTTCCTTTACCAAAAAAGGTAACCCAACAGCTTTAGGTTAGAGGATGTGCATACAGTTCTTTGCATTTCCAAGTTTAAAACTCAGTCTAGTTCTATTTACAGCCAACTGATCTTATAGTCATTCACTTTACTTAGTAAAACATTATTCTCAAGTTCTTGGACAAGACATACCCTCTCTGCTTTTTGCACAAGACATTTTGACTCTGCAAAACGAGTTGTTTATTTTCCTGCATCTGTGAAGGTACTAAGTAAACATGTTTGCACAGTAGAAAGGATGTGTTCACTGACAAAAAGCCCCATATCTGTAGTCTTGACCATTCATGTGAGAACAAGTGAGTCATGGCATGCTGGCTGAGACACATCCTCTCCCACCTTGATATTCACATCTCCCAAAATATCAACATTTCATGGTTCAACATTCACACAGCAGTACACATAGTTGGCATTCTCTAAAGATTAAAGATTAAAAAACAAGTTTTCCTTAAGTCATATCTGTGTTTATGTGTTTTTCAGTGATGTCTCAAATTGTTATGAAATCAATGCGTGCATGAGAACTTTATGGGAAAAATAGAAAAACATTTGACGCAGTGCTTCTTGCCAAATAGGACATGTTCGTAATTGCTAATGAATTGAGTCATTCTGGGGATAAAGCAATTGAAGATGTTGCACCAGTAGTTGGCAGGCGATGAAGCAGTTAGTTCCCAAAAATCTGAACCACAAAAAAGCATGTAAACTGCAAAGAAAGTAAATGTGAGTGTGTGCTGATTTCATTGTTACCATTTATGATGATACATACTAATGCTTAATGCAGCAAATACAAGAAATCATTAGGTTACTGCCTTAACAAAGCAACATTTTCTTTCCAAGTTTTCAATGCAATCCTGCGTCTGGCTTGACCTAGTTTGATGTTTCCTTTGGTTTCAAAACTTAACAAAAAGAGGAAACAAGTTGTATTTATGAAAAAAGTGGAAGCAGAAATCTTTTTATATCAATAATTTGAGCAGAAATAACAGAAGTGTCTAGCTGAGTCCCATGATGACACGATGAGTGTGTTATGCTTTAAAAATACAAATAAAAATTTAAATTTGTTTAATGGTGTTAATCTCTTTTGTTATTTCCTGAATGGTTTTTATGGTGGGGGTTTTTTTTTTATAAAGCTTTTTATAAAACACATAAAACTTTCAAAGTACTTCATCATTTCCTAATTATTTTTTTGGGTATCTGGCATCATACATTATCTATTTATTTTTTTAATCAAAACATAAAACAAGCATTGCTGTTTACCAAAATTGGTCTTATCAGCCATTGCCAGGTAGTCATTCAGTAACACTCATTTCCAGTCTGACAAATCTACCCAAAACTACATTAGGTCAGTCACTCATTAGCTGTTATATGTAAAGCTAAAAGTGGATTTTGGAAAGTCCCCATGTTCATTCAACTAATGCAGTTTGCCAAGATGTATGTAGGAGGGATGCGGTTTTTGTGTGGGAGGGGAATAAGGTCAGGTGACTAAGAGTTTTTTTGATGTATAAATACAAGGATCCCTAACCCTTAACCAGCAGCACATCACAGCAAGACTACAGCAAGAGCCTCCAGTCAAAACGAAGAAGGGAGCCAAAGCTGCAGCAAAATCCAACATCAGAGGAGAATCATTTTGGCTTTTTTTTTTAAGTTTGTTTCTTTTGGTCTGAGTCCTTGCTGACTGCAAACTCTTAGTAAATATTTTTGTTATATTTTGCGCCAGCCTACAGTAGATCTCACCATGAGATGCTGTACTTTACTTGTGTGTTTACTTTTGGGCATAAGCACACAAAACGGATGGAGCCTTCCCCTGAAGTCCGTCTTTGTCACCTTTCCAGGAGACATTCCCAAAAACATGACTGATTCGGAGCTGGCAGAAGTAAGTATGAGGGCTATTTTATTCAGACAGAATAAAATTGCATAAGTGGGATATTTAACCAAGCTATGCAGAAAGACAGTGTAAATACAGATAAAGTTAATTTCTGCAGAAGGATTGTAACAGTAACACAGTAATGTTGGTTTGTCGTGTTCTCCTTCCAGAATTACCTAAAGAACTTCGGCTACATGAATACTGTGGAACGCAGTGGCTTCCAGTCTATGGTGTCCACCTCCAAGGCTCTGAAGAGGATGCAGAATCAGCTGGGGCTGGAGGAGACTGGGGTGCTGGATAAAGAAACCCTGGATGCTATGAAAAAACCTCGCTGCGGAGTTCCTGATGTGGCCAACTATCAAACCTTTGCAGGAGACCTCAAGTGGGACCACAACGATGTTACTTATAGGTGAGCAAAAAAAAAAAAAAAGTCACTGAGTTCACTATGTAAGGGGCGGACTGTGCAACGAAGTTCTGACTGTGTATGTTATTTTATCTCCTCCACAGGATCCTTAACTATTCCCCAGACATGGATAGCGCTATCATTGACGATGCTTTTGCCAGAGCGTTTAAGGTGTGGAGTGATGTGACCCCTCTGACTTTTACCCGTCTCTATGACGGCACGGCTGACATCATGATATCGTTTGGGAAAAAGGGTAATGTGCTTTACGATGGTCGTTTGATTTGTTTTATGCGCGCTGACGCAACATAGTTGCATAGAAAACCAAACACTAATGTGAAGTGCACATTTCTATTCAGACCACGGAGACCCCTACCCATTTGATGGTAAGGATGGCCTTCTAGCCCATGCCTACCCCCCTGGTGAGGGTATTCAGGGAGACGCCCACTTCGACGATGATGAGTTCTGGACCTTGGGGAAAGGAGCAGGTAATCAGAAACACCGGCAACAGGCATTTGTCTCCCCCTAGTGTTCACTTTAAATGTAATTAAATGTCCGGTCTCTTCTGTCTATATAGTTGTGAAGACTCACTTTGGAAATGCGAATGGCGCCACGTGCCACTTTCCCTTCAGTTTTGAGGGCAAATCATACTCCACCTGCACCACAGAGGGCCGCACAGACAATCTGCCATGGTGTTCCACCACAGCTGACTACGACAAGGACAAGAAATATGGCTTCTGCCCAAGTGAACGTAAGCTTGACACTGTATTCTCCAAGGCAAATCACATGTCACAGGTCACCCAGATAAGCGGATTTGCTTTTGTGACATGCTGACTTCTATTCTCTTTTCATCCTAACAGTTCTATACACTTTTGATGGAAATGCTGGTGGAGCTCCATGTGTTTTCCCTTTCACCTTTCTGGGGGAAGAGTATGACAGCTGTACCACAGAGGGCCGCAGTGATGGTTACCGCTGGTGTGCCACCACAGGCAACTTTGACCAGGATAAGAAATATGGATTCTGTCCCAGTCGTGGTGAGGGAACACATAAACCACAACACATAAATGCAGTGCAGTGCTGCCACAGTGCCTTGTTATTTTTGTTTAACTGCTGCTGTTATGTCTCTGTTTATCCAGATATAGCTGTAATTGGTGGAAATTCTGAGGGAGATCCCTGCCACTTCCCCTTTGTGTTCCTGGGTAAGGAGTATCACTCATGCACAAGTGAGGGACGAGGAGATGGCAAGCTGTGGTGCAGCACCACTGACAGCTATGATGATGACCAGAAATGGGGCTTCTGTCCTGACCAGGGTGAGCAACAAACACAAGGCAGAAAAAAAGAGGAGGTTAAAATGAATCATTAGTCATTAATAATATTTTATATATTTGTCACAGGTTATAGTCTGTTCCTGGTGGCTGCCCACGAATTTGGACATGCGCTTGGCCTGGATCACTCCAACATTAGAGAAGCTCTCATGTACCCCATGTACAGCTATGCTGAAGACTTCTCCTTGCATAGCGATGACATTAGCGGCATTCAGTATCTCTATGGTAAGCGTTTCTTCTTAGCATGCGGCATTAAAGTGTTAATGTACCTAACTTCGCAGCAATATCTCTCATGAAACTATATATTTTTTCAGGAAGTAGAACTGGCCCTGTGCCCACCCCACCTAACCCCAACCCCCCTACCGCTGAGCCCACTGAGCCCACTGAACCCACCACCACCACTACTGCAGTACCTGTGGATCCAACCAAAGATGCCTGCAAGCAGGACACATTTGACACCATCACTGTGATTCAAGGAGAACTACATTTCTTCAAGGATGGGTGAGCAGCTTACTCATCCTACTTTATTGCATTCTTCTTTTCCAAACAAGTAAAAACAAGATTTCCAAGCACATGAAATGTTAAATTTTGTGTGTCAATTTTATAGACATTACTGGAAGATGTCCGGGAGCAGCAATGCAGGGCCCTTTTCTATTTCTAACAAGTGGCCTGCTCTTCCAGCTGTCATCGACTCTGCCTTTGAGGACAGTCTGACAAAGAAATTGTACTTCTTCTCAGGTAATGAACCCTCATGCAATGTTTAACAGCCTGTATTAGCCAACAGTGCTGACGGTCTAATAATGATCATTTTATTGTTTACAGGGAGCAAATTCTGGGTTTACACAGGACAGAATGTTCTGGGTCCCCGCAGCATTGAGAAACTAGGCCTGCCCAACAACATTCAGAAAGTGGAGGGAGCTCTGCAGAGGGGGAAAAGCAAAGTGCTGCTCTTCAGTGGGGAGAACTTCTGGAGGTAGGTTAAAACTCAGCCTTTACAGTCCTGAATTTAAGAGAAAACTGCTACTTTTTTGCCATTTTAATGACATTTTCTCTCTTTGTTGTGTTTGATCTAAACAGGCTGGATGTGAAGGCCCAGACAATTGACAAGGGCTATCCAAAGTTTACTGATGTTGTCTTTGGTGGTATCCCCAGTGATGCTCATGATGTATTCCAGTACCAAGGTAAATAAACTACAAAATGTAAATTTTCTCTTAAGTTTAAGGGGGAAAAGCCCCCCAAAACATCAGAAAAAAAAGCAGTAGAGCACTTTAGGGTGTTTGCTTTAATTTATATTAACTTCATTATTTTCCTTATAGGTCACACTTACTTCTGCCGGGATCGCTTCTACTGGCGTATGAATTCCCGCAGGCAGGTGGACCGTGTTGGCTATGTCAAATATGACCTGCTCAAGTGCTCATCAGACACCCGCTACTGAATACACACATACTGAGCTGGGAATTGTAATGTGGTGGTACCCATTTCTCCCAGCTGCTGTCTGGCAGAATGTGACAGTGTTTTTGTGTAGCACCTGCTGTGCTGATTTACGTGCTTTCTGGGATGTGAATAATTGTCTTTCGGTCATACTGGTTATAAAACATGTAGCGCCGGCCTAAAAATGTGCCAAAGTCCCAGTACACTAGAGCAAATTGCAATGTTTGGCACTGCCTTCCCTCAGTCTGATTGTCTGTGAACTGATGGTTATGGTGGCCTATAACAGAAACGTAATTATTCTTAACAGCGCTCTGGCTCAGACCCCGGAGCTGCAAAATAATTACCATGTCTGACAGGCTCAGACTATTAACAGTATTAGATTATTTTGATATTTATAGCAATATCTAACATTAATATTATTTTTGTCTCAAACTTATTTGTTTTGTACGATTATTGTGTGTGTTTTTCTGAAAATGGCTTCAGAGCCAATTACTTGCACTGGAAGACAAGGT